GGGCTGAAGGCGGGCTACAAACAGGCAGTCAGCAGTGTGGTGTTGTGATTGGCCAGTCCTGTGATGATGAGTGAGGTGGTGCAGGTGGCAGAGAGAGATGATGCGGAGAGAGGCGTAACGTGAGCGCCTAGCCGTAGGCCTTGGTTAAGTCCGAGGCCTTGGCTAGGCCACAAAGTAAAAGAAGAGGAGAGCGTGTAGTGTGTGATTCCTGATTCGTTGAATTACGGTCATTGATGCTCAGGCATACACACGCATCCACTTCACCAGTTCTACAGTAGGCCTACCAGTACGATAGACGGCACAAGCAACAAGACCGAGGAAAAGATGGCTTCCAACAAAGACAAAAGGAAATGCTTCTCTTTCCATATAAAGGCGGAGATAGTCATTGAAGTTTTTAAGAAAAGGAAGACTAATAATTTTATTGATATGGAAGGGAGATAATCATGGGGATTTTAAGATATATTTTGGTAATTTCCTCTTGCATTCTTATATCGGGAACTTGCCTACAGGGGGGATTTTTCTTCTGGAACCAAAAGTCCCGCTATAGGCATGTTCTACAGTATTGTTTTGATGTTCTTCTCTTTACTCAAACAAACAAGTTGCTAGGTAGCATTCTTTGCATGTGCAACATCTTTCTCGTTTTCTTTCGATTTGATTTTGATATCCTGGTTAAAGTTGATATTGTGCACAAGTGGCTGAAGGGTGCCACTGGTAGGTTCTACTTCTTTACTTTCCTTCTGCTGTTTCTGTCTGTTTGTTATTTTTTCCTAGTACTAAGTGACCATTGTTGTGTCGACGTGCTTCTCTTTACCCAAACAAATTTGATATTATCATGTCTTGTTAAAAGTAGGTATTGAGCTGAATATAATGTTGAGATATAAATGGTGAAATGCCTCAACCATATGACTGGTCACTTAAGCCAATTTTTTTTTTACACTCTTAGGGTCCCTTAACACGTACAGTTCATTCATCGACGAACTAACAGTTTTACCAACATACACTAGATCTGGGTCATCATTTGTCGACGAGAGAAGTTCCATTTTGATTTAGACGTACAGTTTTTTTTATCCTTAAGGTGTCAGTCCTTGACAAAACACACTAAACTCCCAAAAAAAACTTAACTTTGTAATCCGGCTTTAAATTGTGTTTCCCGCTTGCTTTTGACTAATTCGCTGATCACGATAATCTTTTTTTTTTTTTTATTTGACCAATATTTGGGAAAATTTTGGAATGCATTTCCAACTGCACCTGGGGCAACATCAAAGAAGCCGCTCCCTCGTCGTCAGGCCTTCAGTTCGCTGGCCTGCAAATATTTCGCCAGATATCTGGTGGCTGGACTGAGAACCCTTCGATATTCAAAAGGATTGCTCGTTTCCATGCTCCGTTTTACCGGGAAGTTGACAGGATGCCCGCCATTCTTTCGATATCCCACGGTGTGTCGATCAATGAACTGTACGTGTAAATGGGGCTTTAGACCATTGCTTAAATTAATGTGCGGGTCTTCATTAAAAAAACAGGAGTCAGAGAGCACTGTAAAGAGTGTAAAAGAACTGTGGGCTAACTTTAGTATTTTCTGTTGTCATTTAAATTAGAAAGGGTTTTTTTCTTTTTATGTATGTTGAAAAATGTTCAAGAAACCGTTAATGTGGTTAAAGCGTACCAGTAACACTGTCAATGCGTCATGATCATAATACATTCCAGAGACTTTGTCAGCTTTATTTTATTGATCTGATGTAATAAGTTTACAGAATATTCTCCATAATTTTATGTTATTGTTTTTTTTTGGGGGGGGGTTTCTTTATGTGTGCGTGGGCGCCTATCCTTGCAGGAAGCTATTACTAATGTGAACTGTAATGCTTCCTGTTTCTTTCTTTTGCTGTCTGTGTGGGATTGCAAATGAGAGCCATAAATCTTCTTTCATGATTTTCATTTTATCAGCTGTAATAAGTGTATTATGCTCAGAAGAATGAGCTGTTCCTGCAGTGTTGCCAATATTTTGAAGGGATCTGATTTGTTTGTCTAGTTTCTTAAGATTGGGTGAGTAGGTGGCTGAAGGGCGCCACTAGTTGGTCCTACTTCCTTAAGGCCCGGTTACACGTAACGATAAATAGTATCAGATTCGTCGTATGAGAGAACTGTTCCTTTTATCAAACTGTGTTGTCTGTTTACACGTTCCAATCTATCATTCAGTTTTCTATCGATTGAGGAGATTCCTCGTCATAAAGCCACCATGTCTGTTTGCGACGACAGCGATTTGCCTGCTCTTTATGTGAAGGTTTCGAGCTCTGGACCTAATGAATGAAAGGCGAACACTACCTCTAGATCACAGAAGCCCCCCCCCCCCCCCCAACCCCCTTTTCCCCTGTACATTTTGATGTAGCAGAACAAGGGTAGCCACACAGTAGGTCTACCGTGTTGTGTGTAGAACCGGAAGCTTTGACTTGACTGCAGATGTGCAACGCACCGAGTGACCTTGATGCACAGCTTCACAATTGACGATCAATTAAATAATAAAAGAGCTAAAATATATATAATAACGCACCAAATATACATAATAACGCACCAAATCAGTTTTATCGAGAGCAACTTTGCTTGATTTGAGACGCTGATTCCGAATATGAAATCAGTTTTTACGTACAGTAATTATTTAAAAAATTTCGAGTCCTAAGTTTAATTCTGCGCGGCGTCAAATTTCAAAGTGAATCTACGTCACAGTGCGTCTCCCTCAAATCTGAACGTGATATCGCGGAAAATATCAAGCAGCGCTTGATTTCTCGACCGAGTCTCCAAACCATCGTTCAATCGTCCAAATTTTGTACAATTTTGTGGTTACACCTAACGATTTATCGTATGATCACTAGTTTTTGTACAATTTATCGTTGCGTGCAATCGAGCCTTTACTTTCCCGCTGTTATTTCTGTCTGTGCGTCTCATTTATTCCCAGCACTGAATGGCCGTTATTGTGTCGACTCAAACGAACAAGCAAACCTTGTACTGCTGCTGAGGTTGTATTTCACATTTTAATTTGATTCTTATGTCAAATGAGAGAGAGTGGGTGGGTGGCGGATTCTTCGGTGTGGTTTGCTTCTTCTTTCCTATCAAAGATCTGTCGTCCTTATCTCCCTTACTGTTTTGTTTTTGTTACTCTTTTGTTATACATCCAATCTTCGGCACTTATTTGACTCCTGCTAAAACTAAAATAAAGATGACAGAGAGAGGGAGACTGAGAGAGTGGGGGGGGGGGGGGGGGTTGGGGGGGAAGGAGTCTTACATCGAATGTAAAGAGTATTATTTCAGTACTCATATATCTTCACCCCAGTGGGGCGTTACGTCTATGTAACAATTCACATTGTAGAAAAATGTCGTGGATGATGCTCAAGTACTTAAGAAGGTGGTTTCATGAGTTTATTGTTTGACCTGTTATGATTTATACAAGTATTAGAACTTGATTAGTAAAGATTTTTTTTCTTCTGATTTTGTCATGTATAGATCAAAAGAATGGAAATGCAAAAAAGGCAATTGTTAGTTTCACTGCCCATTTCACAAGATCTACATTGTGGAACCCATGAATGATTATTAATCTCATATATGATTTATATAGGGTTGGGTTGTTATGTTGTGTGTGTTTGTGGCCGGGGGAAAGGGGGGGGGGGTTGAGGCAGAGAGAAAAAAAGAGAGGGAAGAGAGGAAGGTTTCATTGCTCTAAAACAAAAGTGAAATAGGCACAGAAATGCGTTTGAACCCTAGTTTTCTGCATAGTTGTCCATTGTCTTACTCTGACTCTGAACTATAACTTGACCATCTCTGATAGGATTTGAGAGTAAGAGGGAGAGGCGGTCTCGGGTTCTTATAGAAACAAGTGGAACGGGCTCCAGAATGAGTTAGAACCCCGGATGTAGACATTATCGTCCTAGTCCACTGTCTAACTGAGACAATCGTGCGTTCGAAAGTGCATATATGAGCATGTATATCTTTCAACATTCCATAGTGAGTGATTGGAGGGTGCCACAAGTTGGTCCTTCTTTTCTGTCCTTCTTTTGTTTCTTTCTGTCTCTCTTACTTTATCCCATCACGTTGTGACCATTAATTTGTCAGTGTGCTTCTCTTTATTCCGACAAATTTTAAAAAGCTAACAGTAAACTAGGGGGTTGATCTGTCATAATGATGATGATGATGATAACAATAATAAAATTA